CGCCAACGACTTAGCCGCCCCCTTCAACGTTGCTTAGCCCAGGTTGGTGCTCTCTCTCTCCCTCCCTCTTCGCTTGGAGCCCGTAGTGACCAGGCAGACCCCTTCGGGTTCGCCCTCTTTCTCTCACCTCGAGCGCGCGCGGTTCATAGCACCGAAGCAGCTTTTTACACCGCCTCACCAACGCTGTGTTCCCCCCTTTTCCCTCTCCCTCGAACGTGTGCAGCCCGTGCTATGGCCTCCGTTAGTGCGCTCCGGGCGTCTCCTCCTCCTCTCCCCCTCTCTCCCTCTTTCTCTCTCTCTCTCCTACTCGCCCCCCCCCTCGCGCTCTACTAAGGGATTCTCGCGTGCCCGCCCACTCGTTCGCCCTCCTCTCGAGCTCCCTACGGTCGGCTTCAGATCGAACGCCGGCGAGTGCATACGAGCATCCCGACTCCTTCCCTCTCCGTGCGCGTCCGCCACGCGCGGTCGCCCTTCGCTCCTCCTCTGTTGTCTCCCCTCAAGTCCTCTCCCCTTTCTATCCACCTTCTCGCTCCGTTTCTCTCTCCGTCCCTCCGACCCCTCGAACGCTAGTTGAAAGCTGCCGCCCGAACGGCCCGTGCGCATAGGCTCTGCGCTCACAAACGCGGTCCTGGTTGCTCGCGACATCGCGAAGGCGTGCGCCAACTCCGTACGCTCCCTGTTCTCCTCATACTCCCCTCTTCTTATCCCTTCTCCCTCTCCCTTCGCTTACGCTCCCGGTAGGAGAGTTCAATTTTTTCTTCCCCTGGGCGTCAAATTTGAAATTTTCGTTCCCGCTCCAGATTCCCGCTGGTGTTTTTCGACCTTGCTTCGCTCTTTCCTTCTTCCCTTCCAGCACGCTTCCCTCTCCAACAGGGACTCATCCTCCCGTTCCTAAAAAAATTTATCCCCTTTCAAAGATCCCGCCTTTAGTTCCTCCTATTTCCCGCTCGTTTCGTTTTCGCGTCTCGCTCACCTTTGACTCTTCTTCGTGATCCCCCGGTACCTCTTTCCCCACCAATGGTTGTCTCTCCCCATCCTTGCTAGGATCATCAACCCCTCCTTCATAGAGCACAGTTATCAAGAAATTCGAGGGCGCGCGCGCCCTAGGGAAGCATTCTTGCAAATGTTCATCCTTCCTCCCAGCCGCATCGCCCAGCGCATTATCGGCCGCCCTGTCGCTTCGCATTCCCGCCAGCTCTGGCTCCCGCATCCGGTCCCTTTTTCGTTTTAAGTGCCCAAATCCCCCCCGTTTCTTCCTCTAGCGAATTCTCCTTTCGCCTGCTTTTTTCTTGCTTCCGCCTCGGCTAATGGTGTCACGGTCGAATTCCCTCTTCGATCACCATCCGTGCCTTCAGCGTCTATCCCTCCAACCATTCTCCCATCCTCTCTCCTGCCTCTCCGATCCCTCACTACCTCCACCAGCCAATCCCGTCCCCTTCTGGCACCCATGTCGAATCATCCCACGTTTGACGACAGTTGAAATCCCCCCCCTTTTTCCCATCTTCTACCTTCTCCCCGTTTCGATATTGTTTGTCTCCGCCTGATTCGTATGCCCGTCCGTCCACACCCTTGCAGACCGATCCTTGCACGGGCGAATCGACTCCTTCCCACTCCCGGTGGCAGTAGTCGAAATCCACCCCGTACCCTTCAGCGAAAACCCGTATGGTGTTATAGGACGCCTTCCCCTCTCTCTCTTGACGACTTTACTATATAGAAGCAGCGATCCTAACGGATGCCCGAGCGGTGGTCGTCGTGGGAAAACGCCCCCATCGTATCGACCCTGATCCGTTCTATCATACAACCCTGTCCTTCGGTAGCTGTCGTGGTCGGCGCAGCCCCCTCGGTCTTGTGTCATACATAACAAAGGTATCAGTCGCGCCGCTATTTTCAAGAAAGGGAACGTTCGGCACTCGCTCGTGGTTCTTGCCGGATTTTACCGCACCCCGACGTAGTCAAATCCCATCGTGTATAACCTCAGTCGTCCAGGCGTCTTTCATGTCCCTTTAAAAAGCCCACTGTCAACCCCTGAGCCCCTGACCCTGGCCTTGAAAAGCTTCGATTTTCAAGATCCGTGCAAGCCCGCTTGCGATCTCCGTTCTCCTTGTCATCCCTGCTCATCGAAGGTTAGTACGAAAGTCAAAGAACCCAAGATCCCGGAGAAGCCCCCTCCAGCACAAACATACACAACTCAAAACATGCCAAAACAAGCAAATGTTATCTAGTTCTCCCTTTTTTTTTGTTTTTGAAAGGGCATTCGGCTGGTAGGCAGCCGCCCGACAACCAGCCCACACCCCAATTCTCGCCGTCCTCGGTGAGTTCCCTTGTTCTTTTCCTCAACCTTTGCTCCATCCCAGGGGTTACCCCCCTTTAACGTGCCTTTCTTGTTCTCATGGCTCACATTACCCCTCCCCTTTTAACTTTTTAGTCTCTAACCGCATTATCTCATTATGACACAATCCCCCTTAGTCCCCTACCTGCGGAGTTATGGAACATGTTTCCTTTAACTATGGTACAACATCTCCCCCTTTTCGACATTTCGATGGTACTTCACTCCCCCTTACTCCAAGCGATTCTATACCCAGCTTTGTCTCCTCATCTTTCTCTCGCGCCTTTCTCTCTTTCGCTTACTCTTTTCCCTCTCACGCTTGATTCTCAAGGTTTTCCTTGTGGCATTCCTTCTTTCTCTCACCCTGCGTTTTCCTAATTGGTCGGTATCACTGTCATCCTCCCTCGGTCGTTTCTTCCTTCTAGGGGTCTTAGGCAGGGGAGGTTTCCGAACCTTATACCCCCTCTTAGGCAGTCGCGAAGAGGCTCCCTGCTTCGAAGTCTCTCCTTCCTCGCGGGTAATGGTTACTCCTGCGTCGTCCGCTTCCTTGCCCTTCCTGTTTGGTTCATCTCTAAGGCTCTCTCTGCATCTAAAAAGCTTGAGGCCGGCCCCCGCGACAGGGTCCCGTAACCTAGTCCCCTCCAATATGGCAAGAAGGTACGCCCCTCCATCCAATCTTTTTAAGACTCGGTACGGCCCCATCCACCTGTTGGCTAGCTTCCTGCTCCAAGTTTTTTCCAGCGACGAGTCGTACATCAGGACGAGGTCACTAGTCCCTATTGGCTTTTGTCGGACCCGCAGGTTTTCGTCCCACCTTTCTTTCCCTTTCACTCTCTCCTACTCGATGTTTTCCCCCGCCTCGGCAAGTCCTGCGTCAAGGGTTTCGGATATTTGTTGTATCCTAGCCTCCAATAGTTCAGTCCTCGTCACGTTGGACTTCCACGAGACACTCGTCCACATGTCGATGTGAAATTCGATGGGCAGAGGGCAGTGCCTACCAAACCAAAGTGTATAAGGAGGATACCTTGTGCTCGATTTGACCGTGATGTTGTCGGCCCAAACTGCATAGCGCAAGTATTTCTATCATTGCTCCGAGCGCCGTTTGCACCACTTCGCTAAGGCATCTACAAGTGTTTGGTGACCTCTTTCGACTAGGGCATTGCTTTGGGGATGATAGGCGGTCGTGTGGGCAGCCTTGATCCCCGCCTTTTCCAATATCGTCTTGACATTCTGACTTAGGAATTCGGATTCTCTATCCATGACGACCTTCCCAACGCACCCGTACCTTGCAATATTTTCCAGGAGAAAGTCACTCACCACCTCAGCCGTCTTCTTCCTGATGGCCTTAGCTTCCACAAAACCAGTGAGGTCGTCGCGGGCATTGATTATGTACCTGAGCCCGCCGACTCCCTTGGGCATGGTGACCAAGTCTATATGAACCTTATCGCCCAACACTGTGGGAAGAGACGGAACTAGGGCTCCTTGTACCGGACTGTAGCCCTCTTCTGACAGGCTTCACAGGTTGAACAGTACTTCTCGACTTGTCCGTATTGACCATCCCACCAATAAAGTCGCAGAACTTTGTCAAATGTCCCTTTTACCCCTCGGTGTCCGCCGACGACCCCATCGTGTAATTCTTCTATTACTGCCTTTCTTTCCTCTGGATCGCAAAGCACTCTCATGGGAATTGCAAATTTGTGGGTCTGTTAAAGAGGTGGCCCCCTCGTAGGCAATACCCCAGCGCCTCCCTCTTGACTACCTCGGTGCCTCCTTCCCTACCTGCTAAATACAACCCTATATCACGGTAGTTCCCATCGTACAGGTTAGCGAGGAACACCCTAGGGACTTCTTCCTCTCGAGCGGTTACAGCCACTTGCGCCCTATTAGCGGCGACTTGGATCACCCTCGTCCTTGGCCATTGATAGAGTTACCTCCTCAAACTTTGGATAATCCTCTTCCCGGATGGGGAGTCGAGACAACCCATCTACGACCTGATTTTTTGCCCCGGAGATTCTTTCGACCCTATAGTCGTAGAGCGTGATATGGATCATCCATTTAGCAATAGTAGGGTCTGTTAGCAAAAAGTCTTTTTGAAGGACGGCGGCTACCGCGGTCGGATCTACTCTTAGGAGGAACCGCCTCCTGTAGATGTAGTGACGGAAGGTTTTCAGGCAATGCAATACTCCCAACACTTCCTTCTTGAACTGACTATAGTTCCTCTCGCCGGGATTCAAGGCTCGATTATCAAACCGGAGGGGTCTCTCCTTTCCGTCCTGATCCTTTTGTGATAGAAGTCCTCCAACGGAGCAAGGCCCAGCGTCCGTAGAGACTATAAAAGGGCGGTTCCCCTTGTCCTCGAAGAAAGGAATGCCTAGGACTTGCCCTCCTTCGCGGAACTCCTCTTTGAGGGTTTCCATGGCCACATCTTGTTCCTCTCCCCAGACCCAACTCTCTATTTTCCTAAGCAGTCGCGTAAGTGGCTCAGCCTTCTCGCTGTAGGCTCTTATAAAGATCCTCCAATAGCCCACCACTCCTAGAAATTGTCTAACCTCCGTGATTGATTTTAGCAGTGACGGTCAGGTCATCAATTTCTCCAGCTTCGCGGGATCATGCCTCTGCCCATCCTTGTCGCAGTTAAACCACAATATCTTGATTGACGACACTCCCCAGCGACTCTTAGTCTCACTCACGGTAAGGTTGGCGTCCTCCAATTTCGTGAGGACCTCCCTCACATCCTCTATATGACCTACCACAAACTTCCTCACGCCGGGAAAGACCTCCGTCTCATCTCTTTGGACCGACCCTTTGATCAGAAAGTCGTCAAGGAAGACTTCCACTTTGTCCGGTATGAATTCCTTGAGGACTGTGATCATGGCCCTTTGGAACATGGCCACTCCGTTGGTCCACCCCATGGGTACTACCATCATTTGAACTAACCCCAGAGGCGTGTGCATTGCAGTCATATGCCTATCCCTATAGTCCAACGCAATCTCATCATAGCCCGAGAAGAGATCGCACACCGAATAAATCAAACGACCTGCCGATCCTTCTCCAAGTAGATCAGCCTCAGGTGTAGACCCTACATCCCTTATCGTGACCGCGTTGTTTTTTTGGAGATTTTGGATCCACCTCAATTTGTTGCTCCCCCCTTTTCTCAGAAAGAACCACTTGTTAGAATAGGCGCTTTCACAAGGCTCCGCAACAAACGTCCTTATCTTCTCTTTGAGGAAGGCCACTATCTCCTCCTTTTCCTTTTGCGCGTACTTCCACGGAGGTCTATCTTTCCAAGGTACGTGGGAGATAATGTGGATCCGGGTGGGCTTGGCGTACCTCGGGTCGATCCTTCCTCTTTCCGAGTCGTCAAAGGCTATGGCCTTGTCGCAACCCCTTAGGGTCATAGTCACATACTCCTTCTCTTGTTCGGTGAGGTTCCCATCCCCTATGTCCATTTTTGCTAGTCTGTCGGCAGTAATACTTTGCCCTTCGGTCTTCTTCCATTTCCTAATGATATCGGCGATTTCTTCCTCCGATATCGAGGTTTCCCCCGTTCTATCCCGGCTGACCGCAGCGGACTTCACTTTTTCCGCCACGGTTTTATGCTTCTTAATTCCACCGGCTAGGGGGATCCTTCCAAAAAAGACAGCCTGACGCACCCACCAAATTCCTCCTCTTCGTCCTCTTTCTCGTACCCTACCCCATCGATTATAACCTGTCCTCCAACATCCTCGACGTCCACCCGGTCTCCCGGGGGTTCATTGTTGACAAAGGGTGTCTCTTCTAACCGGACCTGGCACACTCGTGACTGGGCTTCCTTCCTCCTTGGAATATTAGTCCTGTTCCGCTCGTCGAGAGCATCCACCATCTTCAGAACCACCCTGATACCGTCCGGACTTTGGATCGAGATGGTCTGACTCCTGTCTGGGAGGTCGACCGCGGTGGCGTGCACCGCGCTCAGCCAAGTCCTTCCCAGGATCAGCTCGGAAGAACACTCCTTCACCGAGAAGATGGGGACTGTCGCCTCCACTCCCGCGACCTCAATCAAGGGGTTGTGGCATACCCCTTCCGCCGGTTGGAGCTTATTGTCTGCAACGACCATGGACATGGATACTCCTCTATCCACTTCCAACCCCAATTCCTTTGCGATTGAGTCCCTATATACGGTGGACTCGGACCCATTGTCCACCAGGGCCCTCATCTTTTTCCCACTCACTACGGCTTGGGGCTGACCACTCCCAAACACATAAAATTTCTTAGATTCTTCTTCCGAGAAAAAACTCGCCGGCAGTTCTTCCATTGTTATTCGAGACGACTGCACCTCCTCCTTGGCGGGTCCATCTCCGGGAACCGGTGGTCCTCCCACGAGCGGAATTCTCACCTTTTTGGTGATGCTTATGAGCTCTTCTCTGGCATTCTTGCTAGCCGCTAAGTACTCAAGGAGTATGCACTGCATTGGCTGCATCAGAGTCCTTCGCAAGGGGGCTACCGTGTCTACCTCGTTCAAGGTGCATTTCATCTCGGACTTCTTTGGCCCTTTCTTCCTAGGTGATTTAGGTGATGTGGGCTCTTCTCCCTTCCTCTCTTCCGTGACTTTGGCGTCGACCATCGGTTGGTCATTGTCGCCGCTCCGTTTTCCCCCTTTGGTAGTGAGGTCCTTCCTCTTAGATGGCCCGGCCCCAACTTGGGTCCTCACTCTTAGGCAAGGCCCTTCTTCTTCGGGCTTGGATTCAACGAATTTAACGCTCAATGCCTGGGGCTCCCTTATGGACACGCCTCCCTGTGCCTCCGTCATTTGGACTTGGGATGAGTTGGGGGTTCCCCCAACCTCGGGCTTCTTCCCCAATCTTGCCTCTTAAAGGGCTATCATTTTATCCACATTGACCTTCATGGAGGGGTAGAAGGAGACTGCCTCCCCATCATCCCCCCAAACTACCCACTTGTTCTCATTCAATTTCACCACCCCCAACCTCAAGGCTTCCGTGAGGTAAGGGCACTCCCGCTTGATGTGACCGTCTGAGAGAAGGTTAACAACAGTCGTATTTTTCATCACCACTTCAGGACACCCTTCACCACTTCAGGATGCAGCCTGCCTAAACAGGTAGTTTTCAGGGTCTTCGGAGCTTTCACCACTTGGTCCTGAAGTGGTGAAAGGTCCGAAGACCCTGAAAACCACCTGTTTAGGCGGGCCGCATCCTCAAGTGGTGAAGGATGGTTTTTATGGTCTTCGGACCTTTCACCACTTCAGGACCATTCATGATTTTCAGACTGCCCAAAACTCTCACTTGACCACTTCAGGACACCCTTAACCACTTCAGGATGCAGCCTGCCTAAACAGGTGGTTTTCAAGGTGTTCGGACCTTTCACCACTTCAAAACCATTCAGGATTTTCAAACTGCCCACAACTCTCACTTCAAAATTTTCATTCCTGAATTTTCAGCTACTCGATAACCGCTTCGAGTCGGCGGATTGTTAGGACGAGGGGCTACTTGAGGTGCCACTCCCAGGGTAGCGGAAGGGCCGGGAGACTGCAGCATCCTAACCTGACTCACCTCAGGACGCGCCCCCGCGTTCCTAGGTTGGGAAGGGTCTCCCCATCTTTCGTCCCTTGCATCCTTCCAACGGGAGCTTCCCCATTCCGGGGCCCGATTCCCTCCAGCTTCTCTGTCGCTCTTCCAGTTACCTTGGTTACTGGGTTCGCCCCGCCAACCCGGGGGTCCCCCTCCCCAGCGTTGACCGAGAGGCCCAGGAGGCTGCCTTTCGTACCCACGGGGACCGTCACTCCTTTGGGTGCGCATACTTCGGAGCGCCATGTCCAGGCTCTCCTTCATGTATTCTCGCACATCTACTCCTCCTCCTGTAAAGATCACTTCGGTGACTCTTTCGAAATTTGCAAAGTCTCTAGGGGCCTTCTCGAGGACCTCCTTCCTCTTCTCCTCAGGCAGGTGCAACATGAACATTACGCCGGTCCACTTCCGAAAGCATCCCTCTATCCACCAAAGTTTGAGATAAACGCTTGAACCTCCGAGTGAAAGCCACCAGGCTCTCTTACTTTCCTCTCGTTACTCGACGCAACCCTTCTATCATGGGGATCATGTCGTTACACACGAAGATTCTTAATAGACCGCTCTTGAAGGTCTTCCACCTCCCATCAGTTAGATATACGGCCCTAATGGCCTGGTCCAGCTCCGGGCTCGAATGTTCTATGAAGTTGTCGATCCATTCCTTCTACGGGAACTTCTTCCGGTAGGCGTAACTCTCCCATTTCTCCACGAATCTGGTCACGTCCCTCCCGTTAAAGTAGAGCGATTCTAGTCCTAGGTTCACATCGTAGTAGGGGACTCGGCAGTCGTCATAACGACAAAAATAAGGACCTTCTGTCGGCCCATCTATCGTTGGATCGTAGGGTTTGTACGAGGACGGGTCCAAATCCTCCATCCGAGGCCGAGCTCTCGGAGGTCCCCATGGTTCCTCCTCACGACGACCTCTATCCCCCGGGTCTTCGCGCTCTTAGCGCATGGACTCTTGGCCCCTAACTCCGCTCCAGATATCTCTGAATCCTTCCATATTCCTTCCTACCGCTTCTTCCTGTACCCATGCGGGACCGGCCTCCCTACCGACCCATCTACGCGGTCCTCCCCCAATTTCGGTAGGTCGTTCCTGTCCTAGATCCCTCCTCCTTAGGCCACCTTCTTCGCCTCTCCTTGGTGCCCAGCATCCAACCCTATCACGAGGGAACTCCTGCCCTTCGCCGATTCTTTCCTCCGTATCCATGTGGCCCGCCAATCGGGTCTCGACTGGGAAGCCCCTTGTGGCTTCTGCCACCCTTTCTCTCATCGGCACACGTGGTTCCATTTCTCGGTGCAAACGCTAATCCGGACTCACACGTGGTTCCGTAGCTTTCTCTGTGAGGGGTTCCTCCAGGTTCCTCAAGGCCCTACCAATAGTTTCTACCCCCTCGGTCACTCCTTCGGTCGACTTGCTCAATCTTGCCCCTAACTCGGTATCCTCCTCAGTTCGCCCCATGACAGTGGTCTTAGGAGATCGGGCAACCCCGTGATCAACCACACTTTCCATGCACCAGTTTTATGTTGCTCTCTCCGCTAGAGTCACTCCCTCGGCCTTCTGCCCTGCTACTCTCCTCCGAGCCTCTTTCTCGCTCACTCGATCCTTGTTCCTCACTATCACCTTCGGATTTTTCACTAGTCACAGTCCACCAAGAGTCACGCATTTTTTTCTCTTCGTAAGCGGCTAGCGCAAGGTTGGCAATCTCTAGATCCGAGACGCCCCTAATCCCTTCCTGCGAGCACCGTTTAATCAGGCCTCTATCTACTTCTCCGGCCTGTCCCGAGAACAGGGGCTTGATGAAATCGCCGATCAAAGCCCACCACTCGAAGTCCGTAAGCTCTAGAGACTCCCAACACAGGGTGAACAGCTCGTGTCCCTTCTCTACTCCTAGGGGGAATTTTTCAATTATCGGGCCCCTAATTTGGACATTCCTCACCGTTGCGTCGTCGGGGTAGAGTAAATGGTACACCCACGCAGGGACCTCCTAGGTCCGGCCGTGGGCTGCCCGCGGGATTTCTATCCTCCCTCGATATTCAACCTTCTTTATCTCACGCCTCCCCGCTACTCCTCCTCTCAACCTTCTAAGTCGGTCTTGGGCTTTCTCCGCGATACCCAGCGGGTCCTTTCCTTCTGCTAACTCGGTAGCAAAGAACTGTCTATCGTCGTGAGACAAGAAGATCTCAGCCCTTCGTGTGTGGGTACCCTCCCTTGAAACTATTGAGAAACGAACTAGCATTTCCTGCCCGTAGATTTCGAAGAATCCTGTAATAACCTCCCCTTTTTCCTTAATCTTGGGGAGGGTCACTGCATACCTAGATCTCGACTTCCAAGCCCTTTCTAAGGTTCCGACAGGGCTCCCCCTATCGTATCTAATCATTGGCAGGCTCACCCCACCCGAGTCAATCTCTCGGCCGCCTCGGCTAGTGAGTCCTCGCACCTCTCTCGAGAGCCTTCGCCTTGATCGAGTATCGTCCTATGTAAAGCTTTCTTGTACTCTCCCGTCCTATCCCAGAAGCGTGCCTCCACTAGGTGCACCCTGGCTTCGAAGTGATTTCCAAGCCACCTTGAGTCCTCCTCAAACCTTCTCTCGACCTCAGTCAAAGACTCTCTCCAAGTTCTAGAACACCGTACCCCTCTCGCCTCCCTAATAAAGACCGAAAACCTAGCTTAGGTGGTCCAGGGCCTTCTTTTCCACAAGGCCAGTCGTCAGACCTTGACGAGGAAACTCTTCTCGGCTTCCAACTCCCAGGTTATCGAGTTGGAGGTGTGGGTAACTCTCATGCCTATCTTCCCCCCGAGAGTAGATCCTCTTTTAAATCGTCGAGTATCTTTACCGTGGCCGTCTCTAGTAACTTGATCTTTCGCAAAGACCCAGGTCTCGCCCTTCTTTCCTCCTCCCAGCAAAGGGTCAGGATCCTATAAAACTCCGCCCTTACCCTTTCTAGACCCACCAATTCACTGGTGTCCGGCTCACTCCTGCCTCAAGTTCCTTCGTCGACACGCAATTTATCCATATGAGATCTGAGGGGTCTAATCCTTCCAACCCCGCCTCACAGATCTTCCCCAAGTACCTCCAAGAGATGGTCGACACCCTCACGTGTTGGCTCCAGCCTTCGAAGGCGTAGCCCAGGCCTTCTAACCACGACCAACTGTCCTCGTACAGATTTTGTAGGCACCACGTTAGTAGGGAGTGCAGGTCCGACCTTGTGAACCGAAATTGGTTCAGGATCGAAATCCTACGCTCCACCGCCCTTCTGACCGCTTCGGAGGGATAAACTCGCTCAAGGATAAAACGACTGACTCCGACAGGGTCACTATCGAAAAACAGGGGTACCTCTTCCCAACCTGCATACGTCACTTGATATGCCCTTGGGTACCCCTCCTGAGGGCTCACCTCCCCCACAAGTCTCTCTAAACGGTCCCGTAATGCTCGCGCGTCTAGGAGCGGATCTTCCCCCGACTTCAGGCTACGGATGACCTCCAAGAGACCCTCCTTTGAGAGGAATACTTTGGCCTCTCCGATCACCAATCCTTCCCCACTACTTACCGACAGTCGTACGAATGCCTTCCCTTGGCGGATGTCAGCCACTTCCCTCCGAATAACTCTCGCCTGATCCTTTTCGCCCTCCTTGGGTAACGTGAGTGGACAACCTCCCGTTCTCCTCTTATAGGCTCTATCTAGGCCCAAAGAGTTCCTGAAATTCCCCTTATCATTACCGTGTCCAAGCCTCGTACCCTCTCCGGTTAGCCACTTGCTCTTCCCCAAAGAGGCGGGCGTACGGGACGTCAGCGACTGATACCCTCAAACTCCCTCAATCTCTCGAATACGGGGGCTAGCTCCCTCCTAGGTGGAACCCAGGCGTCAACACACCGAGTGTAGAG